GTATGACAGAGGAAGGATAGTGGCCTACCGAGATTGTGTATTATCATTCAGGGAAATCGGTAGTCGTGTTGGACGAAACCAAACAACTGTAATGTGGATATGTGATCGTTGGATGCAGGAAGGTACGACGGACCGACGTGTTCGATCGCATCCACCTCAGTACACCACTTCACGTGCTGACAGGCAAATTGTGCGCATGGCAGTGACAGATCGCTCGTCACATCACGAACCGTAGCACAGCACATTCAGTCTGTAACGTATCACCCAGTGTTTACGCGTACCATTCGACGCCGTTTACAGCAGAGTGGTCTGTCCGCAAGACGTCCATTGCTTCGTCTACCCTTGACACAGAACCACAGTCAAAAATGGTTTCGAATTTTCATAACAGATGGCGCGCTAATGCATCATAATATAATAGTTCCCAAGTTGCCGCATTCCTATTTACTTCGGCAAATTAGTTGAGCGTAATGATCATTCCATTCTTCCTTGTTTGTTGACGTCTTCTATTTGGTTTATATAAATTCTACAAGGTCGCAGTTCGGAGGAGATTAATAGAATCGCCGAATGTCGTGGTCCATTTGGATGCGGAAAGTGAAGACTAGAACGTGGCTGATTCCACACTCGTCTTTTCAGTGATACGTTAACCTTGACACGGTGTGGCCACTGGACATGTGTCGAACCTGGAGGCTCTTGTTGGGTTCTGTGTCGCCTTGAGTAGTGGAACTCCATCTATGCTTCCTTTCTTCCTGTGGTGAATCTGTATAAGACCAGTGGTCTTAATAAAGCTGTATGCGTGTTGACGTTGAAATACCATTTTGAATTCAGCTTCATCTTAACGCGATGAATCTTGACGGGCTGCATTAGGAGAGTATATTATCAACAATGATGCTCATAACATCGTGTTTCTATCTCTTCTAAGTAGGGGCAAACTATGTACATTGGGCGGAGCCCTCACCGAGGGGGGCCTATGAGGAGGGCAAGGCTATCCTTAGCTTGTGAATTCCCCTGCGAATGGTGGGATGGTTGTTCCGAGTTCGCTCGGAAGCAGCGTCAAGGAAGCCCGCGAGGGTACTCCCCTGCTCAGGCGAGAGACCCGTAAGTTGATCCAATCTCTTTTCGCGGCATAAGACCGCAAGACTACTAGTAAAATGATCCATGCAATGATATTTCCGTACGAGACATACTATCAGAAATGTCATTTTATACCAACACCACGTTAGATACTAGATTAGTAGATGAAACTTCAATAGCATCACAATTGTTATATTCGTGAAGAAAAGTCAGGAAAACGTTTCATATGGGGTGTCGGTGGAAGGATGGTCTAAACCGTTGGTTTTCGACCGCTACTACCCCGGGTTCGATTCCCGCATTGGGCACTTTTTTCTGATAAAAAAAAAAAGCTCCAATGGCCCCCGATTCTTGCGAAAGTCCAACCCCACCAGCGAGTGCAAGTAACCAAACGAGGCTCTGGCACATTTGTAAGTGAAAAGTCGAACTGCTTTTCACATGTGTAGACATGTGATGCACTTGCAGTAAAAGCAGTCGCTAACTACCCACCATGACTATAATGGCCTGTACCATGTGTACTAGGGATAAGCAAAAAAAAAAAATTATGCGAAGTTCGGTATAAGAATTCGCAGTGATGATTCGTTTGTAGGCTGTTTCATGGATTTTAGTTAGATCACTAAATAGCAGAAAAGAGAAGGTAAAGTCTCCTTTAAACTAACTTTATTTAAACATGTTAAGAGGACGGAGGAAAAGAGACAACTGGTCAGCAGACCATGCTGCGCGCTAAACCCTCTCGCCGGGTGGCGCCGTTGGCGGAAGGCGGCTTTTGTTTGTTTGCTGTACCCAGGTCCGTTGTTTGGCCGACGTCCAAAGTGAATCTTCATTATTCCACACAATTTTTGTCTTTATGAAAGACATAGATATGTTCCTAAGACTGAATACTAATATTTGTTCCCAAAGGAGGTTGGCGTAGGAGTGGAATTAACTGTCGATTTCCGACAGCCACGAAACGGGATCGAATTCCGCAATTGATACTTTTTATAAAGAAATAATTACTTCAATTGCCCTGATTCTTTCAAAAATTACAACCCTACAAGTGAGTGCAGGTAAACAAACAAGGCGCTCTGGCAGACTTGTAAGTGTAAAATTCTAGCTGTTTTCTACATGTGTAGACATGCGGTGTACTTACAGTAAAAGACAGTCGCTAACTACCTACCATGATTATCATGGTCTGTGCCACGTGTACTAGGAAAAACAAACAACATATGTTCTCCCCTTTTAAAAAACCTATACACTCATGGACAAAACTTAAGGAAGTTGTACCTTTCAGCATGTATATCGGAATTGAGACAATAACTCTGAAAGATATTACAGTGACCTTTATTGAAGACACACGAGATAACCAAGTGTGTATACACTCATGGACAGTACTTAAGGAAGTTGTACCTTTCAGCAAGTATATCGGGATTGAGACAATAACTCTGAAAGATATTACAGTGACCTTTATTGAAGACACACGAGATAACCAAGTGTGTATACACTCATGGACAGTACTTAAGGAAGTTGTACCTTTCAGCAAGTATATCGGGATTGAGACAATAACTCTGAAAGATATTACAGTGACCTTTATTGAAGACACACGAGATAACCAAGTGTGTATACACTCATGGACAAAACTTAAGGAAGTTGTACTTTTAGGATATATATCGGGATTGAGACAATAACTCTGAAAGATATTACAGTGACCTTTATTGAAGACACACGAGAAAACCAAGTGTGTATACACTCATGGACAAAACTTAAGGAAGTTGTACTTTTAGGATATATATCGGGATTGAGACAATAACTCTGAAAGATATTACAGTGACCTTTATTGAAGACACACGAGAAAACCAAGTGTGTATACACTCATGGACAAAACTTAAGGAAGTTGTACTTTTAGGATATATATCGGGATTGAGACAATAACTCTGAAAGATATTACAGTGACCTTTATTGAAGACACACGAGAAAACCAAGTGTGTATACACTCATGGACAAAACTTAAGGAAGTTGTACTTTTAGGATATATATCGGGATTGAGACAATAACTCTGAAAGATATTACAGTGACCTTTATTGAAGACACACGAGAAAACCAAGTGTGTATACACTCATGGACAAAACTTAAGGAAGTTGTACTTTTAGGATATATATCGGGATTGAGACAATAACTCTGAAAGATATTACAGTGACCTTTATTGAAGACACACGAGAAAACCAAGTGTGTATACACTCATGGACAAAACTTAAGGAAGTTGTACCTTTTAGCATGTATATCGGGATTGAGACAATAACTCTGAAAGATCTTTGATACACAGTGATATATTAGTAACCATCACTCATAGCTCATCTAGTGACCTTCTGGTAGCTTTCTTGACCTCTTCTAGCCAGATCATTGGAGGTATTTCTCTCTTCCTTCAATTTTCCCTAAAAAGAATAGGGAATATTCAAAACATCTCCGTGCGGGTAAGGGCGTTCACCGAGACTGTTCGATGTTCCAGAAAGCGGTACTCCAACAGTCCAAGCTCCTTCAGCAAGCACAAGTCATTGGTTCTCAGCAGAACAAGAAAATCAAAGAACTCTGTGATTTTGTCTTCAAGGTAAGATCTTTGTACAATATAGACGATGGTGACCTTAGCTGTTGGAACATTGCAGAGTACGCTCATGGGCTTAAGGAAGTTGTACCTTCAGCATGTATATCGGGATTGAGACAATAACTCTGAAAGATATTACAGTGACCTTTATTGAAGACACACGAGATAACCAAGTGTGAACATCCTGTCTCCTTCAAATAGATAGTGAACGGAGACATTAAAGACTTCCCACTTTCTAAGTTTTGTCCATAAGTGTCCATAATTACAATCATAATCCATAAAAATAAAGGTAACCTCTCCCATCAAAATAGACTCTAAAACCAAGCGTCATCTATTAACCGTCTCCGCAAACAAGGTCCTTAGGTCGGTGACAAAGCCACAACACCAGCTTTCAGAATTTCCACCAGGAGACCATGGTTTCGAAGTAATGACTTTCGTAAATCCAGGGCGAGATTGGATTTCATGAGATCCACAAGGGATCGAATACAATTTTCAGAAATCATCGAAGAGATGTTTTTATAGCTTGTAGAGTTGCTAGGCCAAATCTCAGCGTCTACTTTGAAGGGAGAGGTGATCTTTTATTTTTATGCAACATATATTCTTGCCGTACAAATTAAAACTATCTTTTCTCAACAGTACCCGATACAAAAGAGGTTTGTCATTGCCTTCTTCCATCTATGCTGTTGATCAAATAAATTTGGCTCTACCGCCTTTTGAGGAGATTTATTCCCTCAATGAGAGTGTGCTTCTTCATTACAAGAACCAAGTTGAAAGTTTATCACTAGCTTTCATTCTTTGGTGTTATCCATTCCATTATGATGTTTCCCACCCTCTACTCGAGTGGGCAAAACCCTCGATTCCCGACAGTCATGAACCAGGATTGAATCCCGCGTTAACATTTTGTTTTAATATGTGAATAACCTTCATATTTATTGTTGTAAATATCATAAACTGGGTTGTTCTTGTTGAGCGGTACCTAATAAAGTGATTTTTTTAATGCTAGGAAGGATTAAGACCTGTTATTATTAAAATCACTTATTAAATATAGTATGAAGGATGAATTAATAACATTTTAATTATGCGTATTATTTATTATTAATAGCAAGGAGAGAGAGATATGCAAAAACAAACTTAGTATATATGTGAAACAGAGAGAGAAAATATGGTTTTACGGGCTACTAAACAAGGTGTATGATTTTATAAAAATGTGAAACGGAAATATCTTTATTTACGGGGCTGCTAACCAAAATGAATGATTTTTGAGCCCCGAAAATGTTCCCACGCCGGGAATCGAACCCGGGCCTCCTGGGTGAAAGCCAGGTATCCTAGCCACTAGGCCACGTGGGAGAAAGGTAACAGCCTACAGTTCCACCCGGTGTTCCCAGGTGGTCAGCCTCCCAAGTACTGACCGAGTCCGACATTGCTTAACTTCGGTGATCGGACCGGTGTTTTCAATGTGGTATGGCCGTAGGCAAAGAAAGTTCTCATTCCGGGAAGGAAAAAATGTGAAACAAAGAACAACAATTTTTATATACAAGAGATCTTTTTCAAACACGAGAGCTCATCTATACTCATTTATATTCTGTATAATATTCCAACAAGACCATATTTCATTTCAAAACTTTCCAGTACCTTCAGAAGACAAAAATTATAAGCTGTCAGGATTATAAAGGGAATTTTAGAAGGTCTCGCAAATGGTCTGAAGTATCACTGTACACGTCGAAGTTTTCTCCACCTCTTTATCATTGGGAGAGCTTCCTCGATGTAACCTAATTGTAGATTTTCACCTTCTTTAATATTTTTATTATAATACCTAATTAGTAAACTCTCTTAAATATTACCATTATTTTTATTGATATGGTACAATTTGGATTATGGATTATAAACACAAGGTAATAAGACACCAAATAAATAAATAGTGTGTGATGTTTCAGTAACAGTGTTGTTACCATCTTCAGACAAAAGTACTGAATGATAAGGTACAATTTGGATTATAGATTATAAACACAAGGTAATAAGACACCAAATAAATAAATAGTATGTGATGTTTCAGTAACAGTGATGTTACCATCTTCAGACAAAAGTATTGAATGATAAGGTACAATTTGGATCATTCTATATGCAGTTACGAGCGTCATCAATTCTTTTTCATCTCTGTCACCGTTTGCTTTTTTTTTTTGGAATGGCGCTCTCCTATTGGTTGGCTACGATCACGCCACCATTGCCCCCCCCCCCTCACTTTGTTATTTTTGTAACTATTGTGTTGGAGCGGGTCGCTCCTTAAATAATCTATTGTTAACAATACCTCATTATAGGTCCGCGAATATCGAAAGTATAGGTATGTAGCTTTTGTACTATTAAGGTGTATATATATACACATACTTTATGTATACATACATTATGCTGATGCAAACAAATAGGTGATGCTAATAACAAACAATTATTTTTAAAATATCTTATCTAAATATATATCACTCGGGTAGATATGCACACGGGTTAATCCCGGGGCGAAGCCCGGGTCACCCGTCTAGTAGATTATAAACACAAGGTAATAAGACACCAAATAAATAAATAGTGTGTGATGTTTCAGTAACAGTGTTGTTACCATCTTCAGACAAAAGTACTGAATGATAAGGTACAATTTGGATTATAGATTATAAACACAAGGTAATAAGACACCAAATAAATAAATAGTTTGTGATGTTTCAGTAACAGTGTTGTTACCATCTTCAGACAAAAGTACTGAATGATAAGGTACAATTTGGATTATAGATTATAAACAAAAGGTAATAAGACACCAAATCCAAATAAATAAATAGTGTGTGATGTTTCGGTAACAGCAATGTTACCATCTTCAGACCAAAGTACTGAATTAGGAATTTTACCACAGCATGTTTTTAATACTTGATAACATTAACTATTTAAAACATGCTGTGGTAAAATTTCTCATTCAGTACTTTTGTCTGAAGATGGTAACAACGCTGTTACTGAAACATCACACACTATTTATTTATTTGGTGTCTTATTACCTTGTGTTTATAATCTACTAGGCGAATGACCCGGGCAACGCCCGTGTTTTACCCGATTGAATGTTTTGATTCAAATACTATTTGTTACAATTATAAATTGGCGCCTTATATAAATGCATATGTTAGTTAATAACTATAGCCTATGTGCTTTATCTGTCTATGTACTGTTGGCTTTCGTAGGCGTCTCTTACTGGGAAAAAGAAAGAGAGGATTCCATTTGGTTATTAACTAATATATGCATTTATTTAAGGAGCGACCCGCTCCAACACAATGGTTACAAAAACGAAAAAGCGAGTGGGGGAGGGGGGGCAAAGGTGGCGTGATCATAGCCGACCAATAGGAGGGCGCCATTCCAAAAAAAAAAGCAAACGGTGACAGAGATGACTGATGAAGAATGACGCTCGTAACTGTATATAGAATAATCCAAATTGTACCTTATCATTCAGTACTTTTGTCTGAAGATGGTAACAACGCTGTTACTGAAACATCACACACTATTTATTAATTTGGATTTGGTCTTTTTACCTTGTGTTTATAATCTATAATCCAAATTGTACCTTATCATTCAGTACTTTTGTCTGAAGATGGTAACAATGCTGTTACAGAAACGTCACACACTATTTATTTATTTGGTGTCTTATTACCTTGTGTTTATAATCTATAATCCAAATTGTACCTTATCATTCAGTACTTTTGTCTGAAGATGGTAACAACGTTGTTACAGAAACGTCACACACTTTCTATTTATTTGGTGTCTTATTACCTTGTGTTTATAATCTATAATCCAAATTGTACCTAATCATTCAGTACTTTTGTCTGAAGATGGTAACAACGCTGTTACAGAAACGTCACACACTATTTATTCATTTGGTGTCTTATTACCTTGTGTTTATAATCTATAATCCAAATTGTACCTTATCATTCAGTACTTTTGTCTGAAGATGGTAACAACGCTGTTACAGAAACGTCACACACTATTTATTCATTTGGTGACTTATTACCTTGTGTTTATAATTAAGAAATTATAGAGAGATAAAGTATTTTTTCTCTCTCCTACTATTGACTTGTGTGTTCAATGTTTTCAATCCCCCCACCATAATTACTGTATGGATCCACAGGGAACCAGAGCGCTGGAAGACCACGACGATGACACCGCCCTGAAAACTGAACTCCATCAGCAGCTGGCCCAGCTACAGAACAAGGTCACGGCCATCTTCCAACAAGGGCAGATGCTCAAGGTCCGCTCCAACCTTAAAAGTATGTTCCTATAAGTTTGGCATTTAATAAACCTACAGATTATGTAGTCTCCCATGGTAGTTGGTAGATACAGTCCCAGCTGGTGTTGGGTGTACACCGATGGACAACACTTAAGTAAGTGGAAAGTCTTTGTTGTCGCCAGTTGTCTATTTTTTTAAGGAGACAGAGGCAATTTTATTCACACTTGGTTATCACGTGTCTTTGATAAAGGTCACACTATATCCGAGAGTTATTGTCTCAATCCCGATATACATGCTGAAAGGTACAATTTCCTTAAGTTCTGTCCATGAGGGTAAACCTTAGATAACTGTGCATTTTTTTCTATTATTATCCCTAGTACATGTGGTATAGACCATGATAATCATGGTGAGTAGTTTGTGATTGCATTTTACTGCCAGTGTACCACACGTCTACACATGTATAAAGCACAGTTTTTGACTAGGGATAATGCAGTAGGAAAAACCTCCATGAGAAGACACTCCAGCTAGAGGACACCTCTCTACAAAGGACAGTTTTGATTACCCCTTTTAATTTCCAGTAAGAAGACACCTCTCCCTAAAGGACACTTTGGCTCTGTAACTAGGTGTTGTCCTTTACAGAGAGGTAGTTCTACTGTATTTAGCAACTCTCCAGTTAGAGGACATCTCTCCTTAAAGGACACTCTGTAACTAGGTGTTGTCAGAGAGGTAGTTCTACTGTATTTAGTAACTCTCCAGTAAGAGGACATCTCTCCCTAAAGGACACTTTGACTCTGTAACTAGGTGTTGCCCTTTACAGAGAGGTAGTTCTACTGTATTTAGCAACTCTCCAGTAAGAGGACATCTCTCCTTAAAGGACACTTTGACTCTGTAACTAGGTGTTGTCAGAGAGGTAGTTCTACTGTATTTAGCAACTCTCCAGTAAGAGGACATCTCTCCCTAAAGGACACTTTGACTCTGTAACTAGGTGTTGCCCTTTACAGAGAGGTAGTTCTACTGTATTTAGCAACTCTCCAGTAAGAGGACATCTCTCCTTAAAGGACACTTTGACTCTGTAACTATGTGTTGTCAGAGAGGTAGTTCTACTGTATTTAGCAACTCTCCAGTAAGAGGACATCTCTCCCTAAAGGACACTTTGGCTCTGTAACTAGGTGTTGTCCTTTACAGAGAGGTAGTTCTACTGTATTTAGCAACTCTCCAGTTAGAGGACATCTCTCCTTAAAGGACACTCTGTAACTAGGTGTTGTCAGAGAGGTAGTTCTACTGTATTTAGTAACTCTCCAGTAAGAGGACATCTCTCCCTAAAGGACACTTTGACTCTGTAACTAGGTGTTGCCCTTTACAGAGAGGTAGTTCTACTGTATTTAGCAACTCTCCAGTAAGAGGACATCTCTCCTTAAAGGACACTTTGACTCTGTAACTAGGTGTTGTCAGAGAGGTAGTTCTACTGTATTTAGCAACTCTCCAGTAAGAGGACATCTCTCCCTAAAGGACACTTTGACTCTGTAACTAGGTGTTGCCCTTTACAGAGAGGTAGTTCTACTGTATTTAGCAACTCTCCAGTAAGAGGACATCTCTCCTTAAAGGACACTTTGACTCTGTAACTATGTGTTGTCAGAGAGGTAGTTCTACTGTATTTAGCAACTCTCCAGTAAGAGGACATCTCTCCCTAAAGGACACTTTGACTCTGTAACTAGGTGTTGTCCTTTACAGAGAGGTAGTTCTACTGTATTTAGCAACTCTCCAGTAAGAGGACACTGTAACTAGGTGTTGTCAGAGAGGTAGTTCTATTGATATTGGCTTACATTGCAGAAATTCATATCAGCCAAATTTAGTATAAAGGTTTTGAGCTTACAATCCTCAACATCAGTCTCTTCACTCACATCCAATACTAGTCTGTTGTTATAGATAAGATAGACAGAGAGTGGGCAACAGTTATTCATTTATTGAAAGTGATGCAAGGAAAGGAGAAGCTATTATCACAGAAAGTCTATATATAGAGAGGGTCAGCAAGGCACAGCTAAGTGGTTGTAACAGTTTGGCACACTCCTTCATATACTCTCTTCGTGCCACACTTCTAGCAAACACAATAGTGGGGTGGTGCTTAGAGGTCAGTTACATATTTACATATTTTCTGGAGGGAGAACATTCATCACTATCTTTTTAGATATATAAATATAAAAAAGAGGAATGAAGGACGAAGCT